TAACGACAGACAAAGCAAGCCCCCAGTGTCAAAGAAAGAAAGAAAGTCTAAAATCCTGAGTTCTGAAATTGCTTCCAAAACCACAAAACATTAATACATTTTACTTTGTTTATCATTACCGATGGTTATTTGAACAGGCATGAATCAAAGTTCAACATTTCGAATAGTTTGAACAAATACTTGAGCTGTTAACATCTGCATATCGATTCTAGGAACGATTCGTATCCGGCTGTACAATCGTATGGGCTCTTGTGTATGCTACTACACTTTGCGTCGGTCACGTACATTTCCCGGGATTTCTGTACAAGTTTTCCATGGAAAATAGAAAAAATTAAATTCAAATAATGATTTTGCATTAATAAGTGTATATTTTTCGTGATATTCTTCTAGGGATAGTCTCATTAGACTTAGAGCAATTGGGTGTTTGAAAAGACTTCAAACACCCAAGTTCATCTTTATACGTCTTAATTTTTAGCAGGTTATTGTGGAGGACGAACCAGAAGCTAGTATTTCATAATGTCATTCTACAGATGGATACTTAAATCAGTAATGAACAGTTACGTTTAACATTTGCCTATCCTAATGACAACGCCAAGTTTTTTTGCAGCAAGCAATTTATTCCGCAGCGCAATGTAGGTAATTTACTATGGGATTTTGCACAGAACAGACGCTAATTTCAGATATTATCTTGAAATTTTATGCTAGAGCCGACAAACGTACTCGTTGGTTAAGGAGTGAGAACTAAGTAATAAAAGCATTAGGTGTGAAGAATTAAGACAAGTGTTTGGTTTGAAATAGGTAGAATAATTCTCAATGAAGAAACAATTAAAAGAAAGGGAAAAGTGTCGACCAAAGAATACCTCACTTTCAAAAACACCTTCCCTAAAAATAATGATAGATTTACAATTTTGGTACTAAAGTATAAGTTTGAAAATCTCAAAAAGAGTTTGAACAGTTTAAGGCATATTTTGTGCTTGGAGTTTGTACCTGTATCTTTTGCACGTGATACATCATGCAAGGGGGCGTCCTCGGGCGATGACGAGACCACGCAGCCATCTTGTCCTATTATTTGAAACCGTACCACGTCAGATTAATTTCAAAGGATGTTGAAACTTGATAAGTTACCCCGAGATTCGAGACAGATTTCTGTCGCATCGAGCAAGGGTAAAGAGGTTGTATCGGGAAGAAATCTGATAAATGTTTAAATAATGTAGTGTAAATATCTTGGTTTTGGAACATGTTTTCTTGTGGTATCATAAATGTATCGATTTTTCACTTACCTATCCCAAACAGTCAACATTTTTTTGCTGACGTTGTCGAAGTTACTAAATACAGGTCGAGACTTCGCGTTCATTCCTTTGGAAAAATACCCAGTAATTAAGTAAAAGTTTCATTAGTAGATACTAGTTAAGTGGTACACGCTGACTGCTACTGAGTCTTTCTCTATACGGTGTTACAATGAAGTTACTCTCTTCAACTCTACCTAGTTACCTAATTATTTTACCCTGAAGTTTTAAACTGAAAGTCTTAATAAAGTAAGTTTATAAGTTTTGTCATCATTTTGCTTAGAATTGAGATATTAAATAGTTAAACTTCATTTCAATTTCAATCTAAATCACTGCCCTACGTATGTTCTATGTAGCGCTCGACGTAAACAACAAAAGGAAAAGTAAAGGTCATGAATATCAATGTCTTTATTCCCAAAAAGAACTTTGATATCTAAAAATTGGAAGCAATAATAATTAAAGATGGAGCTATAATGGTCATAGTAGGTACCTACTACAATTTTGGCGAGTGAAAAAAGTGCGCCTGTTGCCGCCGCCTTGGAAGTGGGTCGAGGCGGCAACGTCGCATAGCGGTACCGGTCACGGAGCGGCAACGTCGCCGCACCGCGGTGCAGCGTTGCCACATGTCTCTTCAACAAATTCGGGCTCGAAACATTCAAGTGAAAGAGAACTCATTCATTAACAATATTGCAAATTCTTATCGAACATTCGATACAATCATACCAATGTCAATCGAGTATCCTACCTACTTGCATGAATAACAAAAATTATCAAAACGAAATGTAGTATTTTGTATAGATATCTGCATACTTACAAAGCATAAAATGCCTGTACAATAGGTATACCTACAGCTCGAGCTACGAATACAACCTATAAATTACTTGAGCGATTTACGTCGCAACAAATCATTAGAATGAACGCCCGTTACTGCATCTGCTGGTTTGAAAAACGATCAAATAAACATTTGGTGTAACCAAACATCAGATTATCATTTAGAAACGTAATATTTGTTGTACTTAATGATATGCTAACTCGCACTTGAATAGATATAATTCAAAGATTTAAAAGTAGTCAAAATAGGTTTGTAATGCGTTTCATTCTACAGATTATTCAATGAAACGAGTTGGTTTTGGCTTTCCCTTTTCTAAACGAGGTTTTAGCGAATCCTTTGGCTAAATATTTATGGTCATAGAAGAAAATTCACCATCATTAAAATGAAGCCCGGGAAATAAGGTATGGTTCCAAAGAACGGGAATGTAAACGACAAAAGAGAATCCACATAATGTTTGAAGAGCTGTGATTTGAAATTGCTTATTTAAAAGAGTATTTCATGATATGGCATTCATAACTTATCATCTAAGAGCAGGTGTAAGGAGTGGTACGTAGGATACACATACATACACCCCCGCTTAGGGACCGCTTCTAGAAACATGAAATTAACCCATTTTTTGTTAAAAGGGGTCCTAGTCCTACTGTTAGGTGTTCCAAGAACTTTTCGAGTTGAAAGTGAGACAGATTCCAGATACTACAAACTACACTTAGATAGATACCAAGGACTCCTTGAACGTTTTCAGTTACGTAAGCTCCTATATACCTAGCTATCTATGTAATTAAATCCTTTAATAGACTCTTGTGCTGTGTCTGAGAACTTAAAGGGCTATACGATTTTATTACTTGAGAAAACCAATTAGCCCAATTAGCCCACATAAACACAAGGAAATTGCGTTCCTTGTCTACCTAGATAAAAAAAAAGATTGTGCAAAAAAACAAACCTCCATGGTACGATTCAAAAATTGAAATAACGTGCCACAGGATATAAATTCATAGAAGAATAGTTTCGTTACATCACATAAACATTCTATTTTCGTATGATCCTCTTTCATGTGTTAAAAGAGAATACGTAATAAATAGAAGGTAGGAGCAAGGAATGTCTGCAGCTTGTCCATTCGCGCGTCGGGCAAAGTCGACCGAATCGATAGTTGTTTGTAGGTGAGAAGTGTTCTGGTTCGACAGCTACGCAAACTGAACAGAATTTCAACGCTGAGTGCTTTTAGTTTAGATAGATATCCACTTTACCACAACTATTGATAGGTATAGACAGAAATTGTTATATTTGAGAGGTTTTCAATTGAATAAACTTTCGTTTCTATTGAACATTGTGGCCGAGTGGTCGCAAGTGCGACTGCCGGGCAAGGGGTTGCACTTTCGATTCCCGGGTCGGGCAAAGTATTGCTGGGTTTATTAAATGTCAGCAGTAAGACGGAGTCTGGAATTTTGCCCGGTATATGGCAATATGCTCACCCCCTATTACATGGGACTCATAACACAAATAGTGAAAAGTGGGTGTTACATTGTACGGTGACATTAAGTGCCGTAATGTGCACCTTTGTCTACCCCTTCGGGAATAAAAGGCGGGATGTTATGTTATGAACATTGTGGCTAGGTTCAAATACAAGAAAGCCAGCCAAACAAAAATAAAATCTTATACTATTGTATAACGCTGAAGAAATTTGTATGTTTATTTGAACGCGTTAATATGAGAAACTACCTACTGGTTCGATTTGAAAATATCTTTTTGTGTTGGAAAGCCCATTTATAGAGGAGAGGAAGGTTATAGGCTGTAAAACATCACACTACGATCAATAGGAGACGGGCAGTGCCGGTGGTAACCGCGGGGAAGTAGCTAGTCATTTATAACTTAATTACTAACGTAAATCAAGATGCTAATTATTTAAAAAATATATTTATACACCATTTTGTGTAAATTTAGTACGACGAAGGTTTAGCGTGAAAACATGAAAAGTGCATCAAACTAAAAAAAAGTCAAAGCGGTCTGTGCGTGCACGGTTTGGCAACGTCGCATGACCGAGCGCGGTTGGCCGCATGCTCTTCGCTCGCTGGCTACAAAACACAGACGCAGCAGTTACGGCATGGGCTCGCTGCCATCGCAGCGGTAAGTCCCCTCTTTGAGGAGTGGCTTGAGAGACGCTACGGCGTCCTCACCTACCGCCTGACGCAGGTCCTCACCGGACATGGCAGTTTCGGGAGGTACCTGTGTCTGATGGGGCGGGAGGAAACGCCCGGGTGTCATCACTGCGAGGACCGCCCTGAGGACACGGTGGAACACACAGTGGGAGAATGCCCTTCGTGGGCTGAGCACCGCCGTGTCCTCAGGGAAGTGATCGGCGATGGCGACCTCTCGCGTCCGGGCCTAGTGCAGGCCATGATGCGGAGCGAGGGGGATTGGGATGCCGTCTCCTCCTTTTGCGAAGCAGTCATGCTAGCTAAGGAGGAGGCGGGACGCGTGAGGCAGCGAAGCGCTGCCTCCTCGCAACCCAGCCATCGCGAAGGACACACCGGGCGTCGGGGATCGCGGGACGATCTCCGGCCACCGTAAGCGCGGGCCTGCGGACGGCGAGCATGGGTGGCTCCCCGTCCGACCAGAAACAGACCCGAGCGTGCGGCGCGTCGCGTTCCGCGCGCGCCTCAAAGAGCCATCAGACCACCACAGATGGGGCCCAATAGGGCCGATGCCGATTCGGAGTCGCGGAGAACCTAACGGGTAACCGGGGCTCCGGCTCGACGTGCAGGAGAAGGAACGGGGTGGTTTTTAGTCAGTAAGAGTCTGACACTCCCTCCCGCCTCACCCAGGCGGGGGCAGTCATTCGATGATTTTCCCCCCTTAAAAAAAAAAAAAAAAAGCAGTTACGGCAGGCCTCTTACCTCTCTACTCTACTCATGTATTTAGATTTACTTACTAGCTGAAAAACGAGATGAATAGACACAAGATTTACAATATTGTAATTACGAAGGTTGAACATCAAAATCGGAAGGTAATTTATTATTGATGAACAAGCGACTTTTACTAATCAAAGGATAGCGATCTCTGTACTAACTACATTTTATTTTCGAGTTTCGAGGTTCGCGCGCTGTAAGTTTTTCTCTATGGTCGCGCGATTTTCGTACGACATTAGATATAAGATAAAAATACAGGTGGTCAAACTACCTACCAAATTAAAAAATAAAGGGCATTTCACAATTATTGACTTAAAAGTTTTTGACTTTTGACGATTTTTTAAATTTTTTCCGACATGGTGTCGACTGTAGACTGCGATGCGAATTATGAAACAATAATATAAGTAATTTGTCAATAACAATAAACGAAAATAACACAGGTATGTAAGTACATTCTTATCGTGTTCCAATGAATCGATTCGATAAAGTTTACGACACGGCGACACGCCAGTCGCAGTGGGCGGGCATTCAGTCAGCGGAGTCGCAACGCGACCAATCACGAGAGTCGAGCGTGCGCACAAACGTGCGATAATGCGTCAGTCGCATCGCGCCCCGCTGCGGAGGTGGCGTTTTTTTCGTCGCAATTATAACTACGCCTTTATGTCGTCGATTGAAGTGATTTGTCAAAATGTCAATGTTTAATCCAGTTCAATTGATAGATGAAGTAAAAAAACGGCCCGGGCTGTACAAACCTGATCATCCTGCCGATCGGGAAGAGAAATTGGCGTTATGGAAGGAAATAGGATCAGTTATTTACCATGGTTGGGAAAATTTCAACAAGGCGACTGCTTACGACAGAGGTTAGTATACACACGAACCTAACCTCTGTTTCTGAACATGAGTCACACAAAAATATTATTTTAATACTTCCCACGTGTTCTAATCGTTTTTACTAGACCTTTAAACATAGTCTAACTCAACAATACAGACCTCTCGTAAGTATTTCAGTAATTAATAGAATGCGTAGGTAGGCAATGTTTGTAATACAACTTTATTTTTGACAATAACTTCCGTCGTGCAGTTTTTGGTAGCGCGCACAATAACATTGGCGCTCGATTTGTAGTCTGTCTGTCTGTCCTACGACTCGGATGCAGCGGAGCGGTGCGATTGATGATAAACGCGGCCCGCTATCCGTTTCCCGCCCTTTTGCCCATGTTGGACGCATGGTTATGGCATGGCTACATAGTTTACGATTTAATAACTAGGCTCAGTAGGGAAACGGCATATGCGTACATAGTTATAATAACATTTCTTATTAACACTGTTGTGATGAGTTTCATGAGAATAAAGTATAATAGCTAGGTAATTTAACTAATTTATTCATTTCCACACACGATGGCGACATCAAAAAATGAAGATTCAATTAGTCATTTGACATTTACTTATCTGCCGTGTTGCTATGTTATTTTTTTGCATTTTATGACGGAAAATTAAACATTTACCTATTTATGTTCAGGTATTTGACCGCATTAAATTAGTCTGGCGTACATTTTAATAATGGGTGCTACAACAAACGTGTAATGTAATTTGCATGCCGTGGCGTAACGTGTGTGCGAAACTGGCTAAGTTCGTTAAATATGAACGCAGTATGTTATGCCATTTACTATGAATCATAATGTTCATTACAACCAGATGACGGCGGAAATTTCTAGTTATAGCCGGTTCACTGATTTAATAATATTTTTTAGCGTCTCAAAAACAAGTTTAATTAGGAATGGGTATTGAAGTTACCGAGATAAGGTCGTCCAACCAATAAATAGCTAGCTTGAACCGTTAAAGCCGGTTTACAATGCCAAAGTACTTACGACTTACAAGTTTGTAAGCATTTACTTCTTTCTTATTCGTCTAAAAATAAACAAGTAATAATGTAGGTATTGATACAAACTTAAAAAAATAGACAAAACATGTAGGAAATGAATAAAGAGAATTATAGAACAATAGGTTGCGGTCACCGGTGACCGCTTGGTATGTGACAGTTTAATAACAAGGGGAACTAGTCTTGGTAGACACGAAGAACGAACTTGCGACAAAGCGTCATACACAGGGCGTTAAGTCGCAAGCACAGAGACGGAATCTTTGGTGGAAATAATATTTCTTCTATGTTTATAGTTTAGTGGTATGTGGCTGGTGGTCTGGTCTGGTGGTCGTTACAGCTAAAAGCAAAAAGGTTCCAAGATTTAAGATGGTAATCTGACGCTAGCTGTTATAAAAGGTAGTAAGATCATTTATTACCTCGATTTCGGGTCACTTGTGGGTTGGAACCACGTTGGAACGTTTCTGCAAAACTACGTCATTAGTGTTACTAGATTTTCCAATTATGATTTTAAATTAGCTAAATGAACAATGGAGCAATCATGACAAAAAGTAGGAAATAAGTATAATTTAAGAAATGATTCTCAAAGACTAACAACTACTAATACTAAACCTGTCAATTTTCTTCAATAAAGTGTTACAGTTGCAACGGAAATGGCGATCGTTGAGGGACGCGTACAACAGGGAGCTGCGCGCGCGCAGGTCGGGGATCAGGATCAACAGGCGAGTGTATCGTTACTTCAAGAGGATGAGCTTCCTCGGAGGGTTCGATGGCACACTCAGCGAAGACGAGTATGTATTTAGATGATATTAATATTCAAACTCAAACTATGGTGCAAATGGTTAATGAAGATTTCAATAAAATTAACATTTATATCACCAGGGAAATGGATGAAGACATGATACTAGAGGGACATAACGCTGATGAAGAAATGCAAGTAGAAACGATCAAAGTGAAGAAAAATAAACGGAAAAAGAGGAAACGGGAGTCCAGTGAAGGTAGTCACCAGCCTCCAGAAGAATTAGAAATGCCCATGTTTCCAGTAGAAATTGCTGAAAGTGAGACGGACAGTGATAGACTCTTCCTTCTTTCTTTTCTACCTGAAATGAGGCAGCTCCCAATTAATATAAAGATGTGGGTTAGGGCACAGATAGCAAATGTTATGCAGGAGGCCGTCTCCTGCCACTACAATAACACAAGGCCGGGGTCTTCTGGAGATAAGAACTGCATGGATATCAAACGGCAAAGGCATGACAGTACAGAATGAACTGATAGATACTTCCGAATAGTTTTATTGGTGCTCTTACAAAGATTTATGTTTGTTTTAAAGATTATTAATTATATTTTATGTTGTTGTTTTATCTGTAGCAGAAGATAATAAATGGATCGGAAATGTAGACTATTTAAGTAAGATTTAATATAAATGCGATCTTGTGCTCGCAGGGTAACATTGCAAGAATATGTATTCTTGAAAACATAATATGAAGTTCATACAAGTATGTTTATGTAACCAACATGACTTACTCCCATAACAGTACGCCAAGATCAAAATAAAAGAATACATCTAAAATATGGACTATATCCAAGTCTGTTGGCAAAAACAGAGTTTACGATTGTTACTTTGTTTTGTTATTAGTTACACTAATATAATCCGAACCGTTTTTGGCAAGAGGTCAAATAACAAGCAAAAAAAGCTGTTGTTTTGCTTTATTTACTATCTACTGCGGTATTTCTAAATATTATACGTATTTCAACTATTACAGTGGAGACTAAAATTAGTTATGGTTACGAGAATAAAATCCGCCATCTTTGTTTTGTAAATACATAGATAATAATTACTTTGTTTAATCTGTGTTACCAATGTTGCTGTTAAAATAAATATTGATTTTGTTATAAAAATTCTGATGACCTGATGATTATTGTATTTTTCTAGTCTCGATAAGCGTAATCTAATATAAATATTAAATTTGAACTATTATAAAGCGTTTAAATGAAAGATATCACGTTGTTTTATCTGTTATTTATGTTTTTTACTGTTTCATTGGTTCAATGGTAGCAAGTAAAACCTGCTTAGCCAGAGTCTTCAGATTTCTATACTTAAAAGTAAAAAATGAAATATATAACGTCACGCCTATTTTATTAATTAGGTAAACATAATATCTTTACATTTCATTCATTTTGTCATTTACCTTCATATTTTATTCTGATCAGTTTTCAACGTTCATTTTAATTAATAAAGTTTTCCAAGAATGCAAGATGAAAAGTACATGTGCTTACTACTAATTTATTCTGATTGTCAACAATATAGTTGGATTTTTTTGTTTTCATTTTAAGAATTCTTATTTTATAATTTCAGTTACAGAATCCTTGTTTCATTTAAATTAGACGTTGATACAATAAAGGTATATTTTGTAATATCATTGTTTCCTGTTTATTTAAGGTAATAAATGTTTCCTTCCTTTTTAAGTTCGATTTGTATTATTTACTCCACACGACACGACATGACTGTCGGATCTCATGATGTGTTGATTTTTACCTGTAACAAACATAGAATTGGTTAATTTAAGTATGTTTAAGATTTTGTGTACACGAACACCAGCAAAACCTAAAAAATATATACCAACATCCAACAGTTTGTGTAAAAAGAATCAAATCAATTGATGATCATGCGGATCGTGATGGAGCACACACTGACACGACTAAAGAAAGAAATCAAGTAAGACTCGACCGGTTGTAAATATTTTAAAGAATCGGTAGGTAAGCTGTAGACGACAATTTCAAGGCAATTTGAAAAATACAAAACGGAAGAAGACGTAACTACGAGACGTAAGTAAAAGTCGGACAAAACCTTCGAACAATGCGAACTTGGCATGGCACTTTTAAGCAAGAAAAAGTTATAAAAACGTGCCAGAATTTTTCTGGCTTCCGCCATATCTTTGGTTGAAATGCAAAACTTGGGAGTCTGGGAGCAGTTGTGGGAGTTCGCGCCCTAAATTGTAAAGTTATGCGATTATTCTGAACTTTCGCAATAATTCTTGAGAGTTTGCACGCTTTGCCTTTATGCATTAGCGGGATATTCTCATTTCCTTCACGCTACATCTGCGGGTAACGTTATTGCTTAGTCGTCTCCTAAATTACCTTGTTTTTGCATATATACATTAGGTAACCAAACTATTCCGAAAGTAGTCAAATAGATGTTATAGGTATGCAGATATGATTACAGCTGAAGGCAGTCCTCAAACTAATTGGCAATAGGCTAGGATAGGCAAACATTCAAGCAAAGCCTATCATCAATAACAATAAAGTTACTATTGGACATCGTCAACGATAACTTTGGAAAATAACACGAAGTGTCGTATAACTTTAGTGCAAAGTGTAGTACTATTAAACATCAAATTTTAATCAACATGCTTTATGTAATGAACACTGCGTAGGACCGTGGAACATAGAGATGGGATTTTACCCGGAAAAAACCCGAATATGGGAAAAAACCGGGAAAAAACCCGGGGAAAATTCCCGAATGGGAAAATATTCGGGTTTTTTCATATTTAACACATGTAACAAATAAGTAATGTGTAGATTATGTACATATCATATAGTACGCACTATTTAAGAACTATTAATAAAAGTTAGAGCTAATCTAACTTTGTTTATGTTCATATTGCAGTAATAACGTTCTTAATATCCTTAGGGACCTACTATCAAATGAAATAAAATGAAATTAAACAAAAATCCTGTCTGTTTGTGTGATCCTCCGCTCTTAGCGACAGGTAACCCGAAAATACGTGAGCGGGTAGAGGGGCAGGGAAGCAGGTAGTAGAGGGGCGAGCGCGTTGGTGATCTATCTATCTCACACGTTGTTTCGGCTTCATACTGTGCGCACTCGTGTTAATTTGTTGGTTTAATTGACGACTTGGATTTTGTTTGGTGGACTTTTGGTTACCTAATCCTTTGAATTGACAACAACTGCTACTCTTACGGACTTTGATACCTACTTTTTTTACGAACGAAATTTACCGGTAAATTTACAGTTTTGTAACTTTTGTAAAGTATAATAAATGATTGTTAGTAAGAGTATCTCTCGTTGTTTTAATTATATTATTTTAGTCAAACATTCTTTAAAGTTTAATAGGTATTTTTTCTGCTGTTAACATTCCATCACAGAGCGCAGTAAAAACTTATTATAAAACAAGAAGACGTCTTTATGGTGTTATAATAAATATGCTGGTTATGTTTTAGTCCTTGAAATAGACTACACATTTTAACGTTTCAAATAACAGACAACAGCTAGTGCCTTATACACGCTGGTGCTAAGTACTACTCTGTCAAGAAAGTACCGGGAAAAGATCAATAATACAAAAAATGTCTGTTATTCATCCAAATTTATTTTATCACCTTTAAACTGTCAAACACCGAGCGGTCGGTGTTTGACAGTTTAAACTGTCACCGGTGACCGCAACCTATTGTTCTTTAATTGTCTGTAATGACGGTACTCAACGAGTTAAAGTATGCTCCTTTAGAGACGATACACTTGCGCCAACGAATAATCTATTCATCAAAACATTTTTTAAACGCTGCTTCCAGAATTGAGTTTAGTTCTCGCCGCGAATTCTCCTTTACGTCTTCTATCGATTGAAAACGGGTGCCACGAAGTGGTAATTTGAGTTTAGGAAAAAGAAAAAAGTCAGCAGGAGCCATATCTGGTGAATATGGTGGTTGCTGGATGGTATTTGTTGAGTGTTTGGTCAAAAATTCGTTCACCTTGATGCCACCAATGATAGCCTTGTGCGAAGGCGCTTTCTCGTGGTGCAAAATCCAAGAATTTTCTTTCCACAAATCTGGCCTTTTTCGTAGAATTTGCTCTCTTCAACGCCGCATAAAGCTCAAATAATATTCTTTATTTACCGTTAGACCTTCCGGTAAGAATTCAGAGTGCACAACAGCGCGATAGTCAAAGAAAACAGTCAACATGACTTTGACTTTTGATCGACTTTGGCGTGGTTTTTTCGGTTTCGGTTCAGTTGGAAGGCGCCACTCCGAAGCTTGTTGACTAGTTTGCATGCCAAACTCATAAACCCACGTCTCGTCACCAGTAACAATGCGTTTCATGAATGTTGGGTCCAAACTGACTCGTTCTAGCATATCCTCAGCGACTTTCATGCGATTGAGATTTTGGAGAAAATTTAGATCTTTTGGAACTAGTCGAGCAGCAACATGTTTCATACCCTTTAATGTATAGTATAGATTAGTTAAAATGGTACGGATCGACTCGTGAGATACAGAAAGTTCGGCGGCTATCTCTCTCAGAGTTGAATGGGGATTTTCAGTCACTATTTCCTTCACTTTTGCGATGTTAACTACAGTTGCAGACCAGAGCGAGGCAAATCTTCCATCACATCTCGACCGCTTTTGAACGCTTTGAACCACTCATAAGCACGAGTTTTTGATAAAGTCGATTCACCGTAAGCTTTCTGTAACATTTTTAGTGACTCCGAACACGAAATTCCATTGGCGATGCAAAATTTAAGACAAACTCTTTGATCGATATTTGTGTCCATTATGAAATTCACAATATACATTATATATGATATTTCTGAAACCAGCGCTGTATTTAATATAAATAACAGATGCAACTCAAACTCCGCGCCAAAATGGAAAACAGTTGTGCCAATCTAACAACTACATAAAAACAAAAATTTGAATTTGGAACCATAAACAAATCATCCATTCCCGATACTTTTTTGAGTGAATGTAGGTATATGCGCATCACAAAGTACCTATTTATTTAGTTCTGAAAATAAAAATAGAATAAGATCATTATAAATGAAAATACCCGCCTATTGGGTTTTTTCCCACATAAAAACCGGGTTTTTTCCCAAATGGGAAAAAACCTGGGTTTTTTCCCTTTGGGTTTTTTCCCAGTGCCCATCTCTAGTGGAACATGAACCGGTTTCAAGGAAAAAACAAGAATATTAATTTGCGTTGCAACGCTAAATCTTGTATGACATGTCAACTATAAATCCTTTATTAAACTGTGGTGTTAAATAACAGTATAATAATTCACATAGCTATTACATTGTATACGACCACCCACGGACTTAGGAGTGGCCTAAGAAATGCTAGTCACGAACGTTAAATCTTTAACTAAAGCTAAATGTAGGTAATTTAAGACTAACTGGCAAAATACCCATGTCTAACGGACAGTGTGACGTGTACTTTAAAAAATATCTTTAGGTAAAGCCCGGAAATTCTTTTTTAAAGTTTATTTTATAAGTAGGGCTCTTGTCCAAA